CCCCAAAACCCCAAAACCCCAAAACCCCAAAACCCCACGATTTTATATAAAAATTGATAATTTTTTATATAAAATAATGCAAGATTTTGTCAGAATGCCAAATGCAGGTTACCTTCATGATGGACCCTTCGGTAATGGTGAGTGAGATATATTTTGACCCTTTTAATGAATTCTTTTGGGTATTAGAATAGTTTATTGATTGGCGATGTAAGAAAAGAATATATTCCTCATTTAAGAGTCTATTTTACTATGTTTGTAGAGCTGAGGAATGCAGTAAAAAGAAGAGATATTTCAGACAATCATAAGGTAAGACTGGTTTATGTATTTAAAAAGTTAAACTGACTTAAGAAAATGTCAATAAGATTCCTAAATAATCCTTCGACTTTATTGTTCCCTCTATCGATTCGATGAAAAATTCTAACAATAAATTTAATTCACTGAATTTATCATACTCTAAAACTTGTGTAGAAAATGAAACTGCAGTCAATAATTTAGTAAAATCGATAATATCTCCCCAATTGAATCCCCCATTAACCCTCCCAAGATGCTGCTAACACCAGAAAATGAACCTAAAAAGAAAATATCGGTCATCAAGAAAAGTAAAATCTACACAAAAGCCAGTTCAAATTACAACTCAAGATACTCTCCAATCTCACCAAACTTTCCTAATGCTCCTTCAAATAAGGAGGAAGTCACAGATAAATAAAATTATCAGAAACCAGTCATCTTGACTCCCAAAAGTGAAGCAAAGAGAACTCAAGGGAGTTAATTCTCTATACTACTCTTCCTCCCCAATGAACAGGAAGAAATGGGGGATCGAGAGTAATCCTGCTTTTATAAATCCATCTCCTAATTCGTTTAGACTCAAGGCTTATAATGCCAAAGTCAACCACCAGCGCTAAGTTGTTCAGAATCATGCAGAAATAGAGGGCAGTAAGCCCAAGTTGTCAATTTAGGAACATAAAATCGCACCAGAGGATGCCTGAGATTATCCCATCTTCTAAAATATATGGTGGGTTCAAAAGTAGTACTGTCCGAAAAGTTTAATTAATAGAAGCCAAACTGAATGCATCCAACTCAGATATTTCCCCTCATAATTTAATCCTGAAAGGTACTTTTGGTTCCTTGTGAGCATCTAGGGAATAAATAAAGGAATTATTGACTCAAATATTTTCATAACTAAATCAAACTACAAGTCATTTGAGTATATTTTGGCACTAACCTTTAGCAACAAGAACAACCTTGATGATGTCAAGTTCTGCGACTTCAATATCCAAGCCAAACTCTTCAGCGACAAGAACCTTGGAAAGCTCTCTGATGAAGAAGATGTTGAATACACAATGTCACCGAAATTAGGTATCAAGAAAGCAGTCTATAACCAAGACTCCGCTCATACTTTTGTGTACCATTCACGTAATGAACCATCTAAGAAATCTGATTCTGACTGATTCAGTACTCAAAATGCCCGAAAAGGTCAGAAATAAACCTCCAAAACTATCGTTAAAGCCTCTGAACAATGCTTTTATTACCAAATAAGTAACATTATTCCTAATAGCCCATACAGCTTTCATGAAAAGCACCTTTTAAATTCCAGAAAAAGTGTGTTGATAAAATAACAAGTCAAAGAAGCCAGTCCCAAAAGGAGTCAGAAAGTGGTTCAAACACTTCAGTAAATTTCCCAGGAAGTCGATCCTTACTAAGGAATACGCCTCAGAACAGATCCACAAGTTGGTTCAGAGATATAAATCAGAAGGTTAGCAAAGATAGGGTCGCCCTAGTCTATGAATTCTTCAGTTTCTAGCACCCAAGTGGGGTTTTGGGGTTTTGGGGTTTTGGGG